TAAATAGGTGGATATTCTGCCTCTAAAATCAAGATATAAAAAAGTTAATACAAACATTGACTATGCAGATAAAACATTTAATTATAAATAGTTAATTTTATGAATAAGCATACTAAACACAAAAAGATTCAAAACTGTGAGTGAAGAAAATCATACTTTTATTTTTTAAATAAGATTAAATTTGTCGTGCACTATAAAAGTATAATGTTTAATTACTCATAAGGTAAAATGACTACACATTAACTGGTATAGTGATGTCAAACTCTGTTGTTCATAATTCTAGAAAAAGTACAAAACCAAACAACGTATGACAAGAGTTAAAAATATTTTTTAATTTTGTTCAAACTATGCTCTTTTGTACTGATATTAGAGAAACATTATGACATTATTGCTTATTTAAATAATCCTAAAGATAGTTTGTAATACAGTCATATAGTTTAACATAATATTCAAACTGACCTCCTAAATCATAACATTACTTTTGTATGGACCTTATTAATTTTTATTTGTTGCTAGACAACAAATGTACACAATAGTATATTTCGTACCTAGGGCTGAAAATGAGGTTTTGCCGGCTCGAGATAGTTTTTAAATCGATCGAGAGCTGCAAAACTATTTTGGTCCGTGGTAAGAACGCTATTTTAACCACACTACACCCTATTACCACTATTCACCATTATAATAATGCACACTGATTGTCAACACAACTACAACTTTAAGGTTATGTGAAGAAACAATTATATGAGGAATCAGCAAAATCAAAATAAATAGTTGCTAGGCAACGGTGAAAATTATTCAAAAAATGATTTAAAATGCATTAATGTTTTAAGTAAGTAAGCGGACAGCTGACTTTGCGGCCCCGGGCTGTAAAACCTGCTCGGTCCCCAAATTACGATGGCAGCTGGCATAGCCAGCAAAACGTAACTTTCAGCCACCAAAAATAACTATCTCACTAGCAAAGCCATAAGGAAACATTTCAAAGTTTTTCTTGTAAGAAATACTTGTACAGCTTCCCGCCAAAGTCCTTCTCATTATTTATCTTTTCTGTCTGATTCAACAGAAGTCTTTTGTTTCTGAAACAAAGTCTTCCTCTTTAATTAGAATAGCATGCTTTCGCATAAATGGTAATGTAAAATCTCGTATCTCGTATGTATTTAATTGGTATAATTTAACGAGAACGTACAACGTTTATAGAATCTACGTTTACTGATTATCTAAAAAAATATCGTAATTTAAAAATAATTCTACCGTTTAGCCTGCTGCAGATACTTTTAATTACATTACCATAAAATGTTTTTGCTGTGGACTATATATTTTAACTACTTTCAAAAATAAACTTTGTCTCCGGTTAACACGTAAAATTAGAAAACACTCTTAATTTATTTGCCGAAATAAAATTCTCAAGTTGACTGACGGATTAGAAAGAAAATAGTTCCTTAAAAATGTAAAATGTATACTTAATTATTAATTACATCATAAGAGTGTGCCGGAAATCCCCAAAATTTATTTTTTCCGTCACATGTATTTTTCCTTGTCACGAAATGTCACGATGTACTGAATCAAAGGTGAGGAGTTGCCACCACATCATTTATATAGGGTGTCCATGATTTTGAGATTTTAGTTTTGCGTGTGTGGTAGAACTGGGCGCATTAACACTTTATCTATCACACTTGGTTGCACCGTCACGCACCCAAGTAGTGCGTATAACATCTCAACAATTTGAGGCATTGTCACAAGCAGATTATTAGCCCAAGTTTGAGCTGCGGCGCAACATCAACTGCAAGTTTCAAACTAATTATTGGCCTCTTAGTCTGTTTCCTCCCTTGTACTAAAATGTCGTTGAAGTAACAACGTCAACTTGCAAAACTGTCGTTCTCTGGTCATTCATATTGAGACACTATATCGATTTTAAGAGGTGATATTTTATTGGATTATTCATTATTGCACCAAAACCTTTGACTAGTCTCAAATGACAAATTCGAGATTTTATGTTTACACTTAACTGTGTTTAAATTGGTTTCTCATGTTCTCTATGAAAAATTAGTAGCTTTTAAGTGTTGGAAGTAGACCCTGGTGTCTTTAATTATTGGGATTTTATTAATGATCCCGGCCAAAGAAACAACCGATCTTAGTAAAACAGTCACACAGATGATGCCACGCCATTCTACTGTCACCCTGTAGTTCACTGTAAGTTTCAAGTAATATATCTATGCTTATAACCTTCCTACTCTTATTGTTAATAGGCAGGCTATTGATTTTTACTCATGAAGAATGGTTATCCCGTTGAATATAATAAGGCTTGAATATTACTTTATTTTAGTTTTTTTTTGTTTTGTACGTAGCTTCAGTTTTATTGTTGATTTTTGAATTCTGAAGAGAAATGTCCTTGGTGTCTCTTGGTAGACTTCATGTGAAATACTGACAGCCTTGGCTTTTGTATATTGAAGTAACCATCCTATTTTATAGACATGCTGTAGCAATCTATTCAAAATAAACTTTGTTGAATATAAGAGCTCGCAGGGTGTGATACAGTAAAAAAATCTATTTTACTTTTTAGTTTCTGTTACTGGGATCGGTGCTGTTGCATAAGTGCAAAAGTGAATCTATACTTGACCTTCAAGTTTTGATTGGTTGATAAAGATTGTTTCATTATAGAATCAGTAATTTACATCAAACAACTAAGTCAGTATGTAAATTGAACAAAAGTACGTTCGAAATTATTTAACTAACCTCAATACGAATCAAATCTTTTTTCTAAATACCAGCACAAGCGAAAAGCAAAAATTTTTTTTCAAATACCTATTATTTTCAATGTTTACGTCACTCTATTACTTTCAATCAGCATGCACTGACGACACTAAAGTACGGAGTTCATATTGTGCGTGTAGGCCTAATATTTCATCATAATTGTGTTTCCTAAGCCGATTTATTGAGGTTTGTGGAACAAAAGCTCATAAATGACATTACGGCTTCAAAAGAAATATTTCAAAGGAAGCAATATTGGGCTTTGATTGGATATTGCAAAAGAATGAAGCGCTTTCTTATATTAGTTTGTTTTTTCGTAGATTGAAGAACCAACGGATGTCTAGCATAGTCGTAGACTACCTTAAATTAGAATAAAAAATTGATTGGATGTTTTTTAGCGAAATAGTATTTTACTTAGTCAATTTTTATAAATGACAAATGGACACAACTAAACCATCAAGCAAATAAGTATCCAAATGACGATGTACAGTATTTCATAATATTTAGCATTAATGTAATATGGCGAAACGGACAAATGTACATGCATAACAAATAGTTGCCAAATATGCCTTTAAAATCACATTTTTCTAGAATGTTCATTATGTAACAGATTTCCTCATTTAAAATATTCGTTGCTTAAAACAAGCAATGCGAAATTTGAAAGCGGTGAAAAATAGGTTCATTTCGACAGCCCTTTCATGACAGACTCTGGTATTCAAATCTGAGAGCCGAGACAAATTAAGGGGTTCATATTTCAAGCTACCTTGTTTCTGCTTACATGCCCTACATAAACCAATGCTGTAGTAAACACATTTAGTAAAACATTTCGCAATGTGTATTTTGAGTTTATTTGACATGTTCTTTAGTAGATTGGAGTATGTATTAGATTATGATTTTAAAAAAATTACAAAGCATTACGAAGAACTTTTGTACAGCTTTTAACTTCTATTGCATTTTGTAGTTTTATTAGCATTGCAAGTACAAATGTAAGTAATGAATTGGCATGTTTACGAAGTGGATTTTAAACTATTTTAAAATCTAGTGCTGCTCATATATAACCTAAAAATGCAAATGTAAATTTCAAATACACACATTCAATCCATATTTTGAGTAACAAATTGATTTATACATCATTCGAGTTTGAAAATATGTTGATATTTTAATTTAAAACAATTCAATAATGGATTAATTAACTAACATTCACTGAAAACAAATTGCGATCATTAAAATATTGTGCGTGCTTTCATCAATTGAATGCAAATTTGGTCTTACATGCTGATTAATTAACAATCAAGCTAATATAAATGAAAATAATCATTTTTGCAACATTTATTTTGATATCGACGCCATGCTATTTACTGATTTGCATTTAACTAATGCGAAAATAACATTAAGCAAATGAGGCTAACTATATTTGTTACAACTGTTATAAATAATCTTATTGGTGTTATATTAATTATTGAATCTATTATTGTATTGAAAAAAAGGAACACACTCGGATCGCTAAGTATTATGTTTTTTTGGTGTTATTTATAATGCTTTACTTGTTGACTACTCAATATCAGTATGAGACATCTGGCAGAAAATACGCCGGTCAATACGTGGCATTGTCATTTTAATTCTGTTTTCTCTGTCAGAACTCATACATCGAGTTGGTTTGTAATATATTATGTTCAAGTAAATTTCTATTTCAATTATCAATCAATTATTAATTATTTTAAGATGGGGACGCCACTATATGCGTATTTTCCCAAATATGAGTTAAGGATGAGTGTAGGTTGAGTGGCACGATCTTGTAGTCTTGTTAGTGACTAAGGCCGACATGTTCCTTAGACACAGCTGTTAATTAATAGAAAATACAGCCAATGGACCTACAGTTTATGGTGGAATCCGAACCACATTTTAGCCTTTGTATTAACGAATTGGTCTAATTATCAGGATAGTACTGCGGATAGTCGTAGTACCCACTAGTGCGGACGTTAATCCACACCAGGGAGTATTGCATCCACAGTGCATATAAATATCCACAATTCGTGACCTCCTAGTAGCCGGATTACAGGACGACGCCACCGTACCATTCTTGGTTATTTGCTCACATAAAATTATGGATATTACAGTCTTACACGATTTACTTATTTATTGAACACAATAGAACAGTTGCAGGGCATATGTGTAGTGCAATAAGTAAACGTTGAGTGTAACTTGGTGAATGTGCAAGTGAACAATGTAAATACCGTAATTGGAAAGTTTCTCACCTAAAAGATGATGACCGTCTTCTCCTCAGCTTGTTCTTTTCGTTCGTATCACCTAAAACAGAAGTATACGTTATGATATATTATATCAACGTTTACCAAACAATGGCTCATAAGTATTTAAATGGAATATTTACAGAAAATTACGAATATATACAAAAACCAAAAGAGTAAGTTAGTTAGATAATTTTGTTAACTCTCTCAAGAATATTACTACACCTTTACCAGTGGAGAGATAGACTTAGGATACTAGAAGATACCACCATTATACCACCACCTTTATAATACCACTATTCCCACCATACCACTATTAGTTCCACTATTATACCATTATGAACAATAAAAAACCATTTATAAAACCAATCAAAAATCAACACTAACAATACTTTTCTTAATAGATAATGGCTATGGTAAACATTCAACTACAAATCCATGTTTAAAATGAATTAGCTTTGCAATAGGAAATACATTGTATGAACATTATTTTTGTTAGAAAAAAGTGTTTGAGTTTATAATTGTCAATCGTTCCATATCAATTCTTAAATTTACATGCTAATTTCATTTAATTTAATTTAATTTACATGCTAAATTATATATTGAAATAATTTTAAACATGTAAAATATTTTTATCGGCACAACGAGCTCGTTGGTATGATACACCCTCCCCTTCTTGAATAATCCAGTAAAAATTCCAGGGGTCCTTTTTACTAAACGATCAAAGAGAAGATGCCAACATTCTGTAAAGTTCCTCGGATATTATTTTCCTCAGAAAACCTTCAAAACGGACGAAGAGTGGTTGTGTTTTTGACAATATGATCATCCATGCGTTAAAGTATAAACGTCACTAATCCTCCCCAACAGTTTATATGGTTTATAATTTATTACACTTAAGGAACGATTAAGAGGAAGGTTTTACGTATTTTCAATCATGATATAATCTGACCTTTATGAGGAGACTCATGGCAACGTTATATGCTTTAAGTTGTTTTAAATAAGATAATTTTTTAGTTCAATCTTAATAATTAATATAAACAAATAAACTGTTAAGTAAAACACGTATTAAAAAATAAATAAAGTTTTTTCGGTGTCTGATTTCAGTTCTGACTTTGTTTTCTTCATACAGGAGACGTTTCATAAAATTTCCGAACTTGTAATTTTTATTTTGACTGCTTTATCTCTTACAACACGCTAATAGACAACATGATGCAAATTGCATAAACTAGATTTCCCTACCAGTAGGTATTATCTATTGAACTTATTTAAATTATAATCATAAGTTTCATCTAGTCCAAGTACATGACGTTTGTAGCCCAGTAACGGACTTTACAGTGACGAGAAACACGCGTAAAGCCTGCGAGGTTTTGGATGCTGATTATTTGACTGACATAAAGGGAATATCGTGCTATATCACTACTTTATGTAGCGTTTTTCAAGAAATTAAGAAGAATAAATGATTTATCCAACCCTAAAATTAGGTGCATACAGGACTGAAATGTCTATTTGAATACCGTTCTAGCTTAGCATACAATTATAGTATAACCTGTTTTTTCAGTAAGTCCGCCATGAGAAATATCAAATTAAAAACAGTCGTTATGGAATATGACGATGAAAAAGATTCTATAGTTTAGGATGTTATAAGCTGAAAAAAGAAGAATAGAAACACTATTGACAAATTGAAAATTGTATTATGGAAATAAGTTTGAAGTGAAATTATAGATATTATAAATATCCACGATGAATTTATGTCAAGTAATAGAATATTCTTAAGAAATGGTTCTTATATTTTTATCAAAGTATAATAGGTAAAAAATGTCGACTTTAATCATAAATATGAAACAGCCACACAGTAAACGCTTCTGTACTTGGCGTAGTGTTGGATAAAATCTTAGCAGCGTTGTGTTCTCAGGCTCATATATTGCAAAGATTCTTTGTATTATCCCACACAATACTGGGAATATTAAATACGGCGAAGAATAAAGTATCATCGCAATACACAATACCTTTTGTTGTAGTTAAGTGGGTTAGTAGTTTGAATTGCAAATTTTTACCACATAAGAGAGTGTGGCTTGTAAGAACAATGTCCAGCGAGTGCAGTGTATATGTTTTTAAATCACACATTTTAATCTGACAATATTTAATATTAAGTAGTTTGATAAATTATGGTTCTTGTTTTCTTATAAATATGGTATATCGTCAATTATATGAAACAATAATAATATATTTGTAAATATAAAAGAAAAATAATTTGTTTTATAGGTTAAGTAATTCATAACAGAGTAGCATTTACTACTCTCTCTTATAATTTCTGCAAGTGAGTTCCAAATTACTCGGGACAAGTTTTTATCGCATTATAAAGGTAGTCAACAAGTTGTTCCGTTTTATGACATAAACTACCCATTCATCTATGAAGTGCTATTTATCACCTTATCTTAGATCGGTATATTTGTTTATTATAATTTTAGTCGGTATACTCTTAACCAGTATCGGCACTTGGTACCGTAGTTGGAGACAACACTTCTAACTAGCGTATGTTATCTTTAGAAGTGGCTGGCTTGAGATGTTGTCTAGTTTTAAAGAAGTGCCTGTACAACAACTTGTTTCAATTTAACTTATATTCGCAAATATCAGTGTAATCTTACTAATTTTATAAATGCGAAAGTTTGTTTGTTTGAAGTTCAATCACGCATTACCTACTTGTCGGATTGGGTTGAAATTTGGTATGATGATAGCTCACATTCCCGATTAACATATAGACATATTCTTATCTCAAAAATCCTTTCGGGCTCCTCCCCCAGCGGCTCTAGAGTTTATCATGATAAACTTATGAGTATTCACATTTAAAAGGAATTAAAGAATGATGACAGCTGTTTCAACTACACAGGTTGGTTCGATGAATTCAATAGCAATAAAAGTTTATAAGGATTACCAGCAGGGTGCAGCACTATTAATTATTTTATTCATTTATGACAACAGCTAATTTAAACCAAGCAGGAAGTAAAAGCTGTGATAACTTTATTCTATTGTTTAGTTGCAGTGTTAGAACATTATGGCTATGGCAGTTGTGCTATACTATAGTATACAGTAAATTATAATAAACCAACTTTTCTTAAAACTTACGTATCCTCTCCCATTGCAAACGCAAAGCACGAGTTAACTGCAATAAGCATTTTATACTTACGCCAACCCCGTACGAAGGACGGGTACTCTGCTAGTCTGTCTATACTTATATCTTCTCCTATGAGTATCATAGACTTTATATGATGTAGTAGACTTATATGGACCAGCTGTAGCTAGTCACTTACTTAAGCTTTTAACTCAGTCAGAAAATTATTTCACATAGTAAGCGCTGCATATTTTTATTACTGGAATTTTTAATATTAATCAAATGACACTCTAGTAGACATTACGTTTTCCTTTCATTTTAAGATGTTTTTAAAATTAATTAGTGTGAATGACTTAAATCAGTATTTTACAAAAAACACAGTATTTAATCATCCTAAATCCTTCCTCTCATCCACGACACACATAAATTTTAGTAAAAATTTCTTATGTAATATTAAAAAATCAAACAAAATTACTGGGAGTTTTCATAGGAAAGACGAAGAGCACAATTACAGGCAAAGGAACGGATTACTTGCTTTCTGAAATTCACTTCGTCTTGGAGAGAAGTAACAACAATGCCTCAGGCAAAGTAATTAAGATAAGCGCTTTTCGCATTGATGTAAACTAAAACCTGTGTAACAACAAATTGAACACTAATCCATGAAGATTGCCACATCGCCAAAGGCATCGCAGGATCTAGAGTCAAGGCTGTGTTCATATTAAACTCTACAAATAATTATACCAGGGAAGTTGTGGGGTAGTTTAGATTGTTTCCGTTTGGTATATTTTTTGGGGTGCTGAATCCGAATCTGAGATTTGCTAAAAACAATTCTTGACGCAAAATTAACAAAATTGTGAAAAAGTAAAACAAATTGTATTTTTTGCTTATAACTAAGAAATAAGCAACTTTTCGTAAATGAACTATATTATTAAAATCAAAAGTACACAAAATTTAATGCAAAAATGTACCCCTTAAGCGTTAATTTCTGATTAACCGTTTAGTTTCCAGATCAATTAAAAAATGAGAGCATGTTAAAATTGTTTTTAATCGTACCAACTAATACAATCAGTACATTTCTAAAGTTTTTCAAAATAAAAAATGACAAACTTTTAAGTTTTAATCATCTATATACACTATTATATAAAATCTAATGGTGTCTGCCTGTATTTCCAATAATATTTAACTATTTAATTTACTACTAAACTGACTGGGTTTAAATTTTACAAAAATATAGCTACCATACCAAGGATGGTATAGGACTATTCACATTTCGATACTGACCGTGGGCTTTAAGTTCTGAGGTGAGGATTTTAAAAGTGAATATTGATTGTGAACCACTATATTATTATGCCCGTTGTAAATTTATTTGTAACCCTACCACGCGGAAAAATATTTGTTAACATTATTTTGCTTGATAAAATGTATACTGAATTATAAACTATGCTTATGAATCTTATAATCCTTAATATACAAGTTGCATGTATATTTTTCGCTCACTAAAACTGAGTCAAAACTTTAAATAGAAAAAATATTGTTTTTTTCGTCGGCTATATAAGATTAAATATCTCGGGTTTGTTTTAATATTTATCTTACGCTTATATAAAAGTATTGATCCAGTTTGGTTTTAAGTCCTCCACCTTGTGAAACAATCTTAATTTTTAAATAATATTTATCTTAAGTTGATTTTAAAATAAGAAAGAAGCTAATATATTTAAAACATGTTGCGTGTTGTGTTGAATTTTTAAGCTACACCGCTCTTACATTCGTGACATGTATTCAAATACTCGACTGAATGCACTGCATCGCACTTACAGTGATTAGAAACGTGCGAAATCCACCACACAGCTGGAATACTGATATATAGTCCGATGAGCTAGTCTCGAACCTTTAACAGGGGTTTGAATTTCGTTTGGTCAATGAATTATTATTATTTTAAATTATCATTATTATTTTAAAATATTCACCCGGTAATAAATTGACAATCTTTTGTCCTATCTTCACTTCTAAGGACGCTAGGCTAAAGCGCGAAACATATATAAATATTAGGTACTTTAGAGGCATTATCTAAATGGTGAATATTTTTCAAAAAATAACAATGCATTTGTAAGAATATTAAGTAGAATAATCAAAACAAACTAGGGACCAGATGAAGTAACTTGAAGGGAGTGAGGAAATTCTGTTAGACCTATTTATCCATGGTACACCCCAACACTCTACTGGGTTGAATGTTTACTAGATTACTGCTCCAAGTTTAGCCTAGAGACACTACCTGAGTGTTGCAAAAATAGATTTACATCTCTTAATACGTTCTTAACAGGTTTACTACGATCTCTACTTGTGTCTCTTGGTAGTAAAACGTACTACACACACCGATGAGTGATGTGATGGCTTTTCCTAAGTTGTATAAACAAAAGAAGGGATTTTTACATGATAAAATATCATCAACCTGAAAATTTATAGAAAAATACAATTTAACATATTTTTAGTATATGATAATATGTAAATGCCTTAATACTGTTCAAAATACATTTAAACCGATTTGAATGGTTTTTTTCCTTGGAAGAACATAATTTTACTATTAAACTGTGGTTGTTTGGTAAACTTGACCAGCAAGTCATACAAAATATTCAATTCATGTAATGCTAATGTGGCGTGCCTTAGTAGTTAAGACTATACAATTTGGACATTAACATAAGTAAATAAATAAAAATGCCTTTATTTCCGAGCGTTTCTCAGTACAACTTAAATTGTTTACAGAGTAACTCAGGTCAATACCTACGGATCAAAATATGTTAGAAATAATATTATTTCAAAACGAATTGGTAGGGACGCAGTTCTGGTTTGAATCCAGCCCCAGCATGGATTATAATGCGCACAGAACTACTTTACGTTCATGTTATTTTAAAATTCTCAGAAGAGATGAGATTTAAAATTACATACTATCTGAATTCTCAACAAAATTTAGTTGCTTGATTGAAAAGCATGAACAACTGCGAAGCAAACAGCCTGGACTTGGCAGTGCAGCATGATGAATCTTACAAAGCATTGTGTTCTTGACACATCTTGCTTCCTTCTTGCCTCCCTGTTCTGGAATATGTGCTAACATTTAATTTCACGCTCGGTTTACGATTTATAATGTTCTTATTCTAGAAATTTTCTTGTATTACATAAATAATAAATAACTTAGTATAAAAATACCCCCGCCACAGCAAACCTGCCGACTAAGCGAATTTCCATTTGTCTGACTGAATTGATTTTCAGTTAAATATATATTTTAATAACATTAGGTTTAACGAGTACCTAGGTTTGCTGCTACAAGGAAACTAATAAAGTGTGTTTTTGAGTAAAATATTGATAGCTTATTACAAAATAAATAAATTTGCCAAGTTTGATCAAAATATATCCATAAACAAGCAAACTACAACATTTGACAATATTCTCCATAAGAATAACATGGGAATTTTAAATTTACAATTTTTTTAATTTTCTCCGTTACTAATAATCGAACAAAAATACTTTTATATACTAAATTATTTGTTTTTTTTTAAGCTCTTTAAAAAGGTCTAAAGAGAAATCAGGAAATTTTGTGTTTTGAGGGTCAAAAGTGAGAAAACCCAATTTTTACACCATAAAACCCCCCGTAAAGCCCCGATCCCATGGTCCGATCGTGCTGGTTCGCGAACTCATTCAAGTTTATCCCGCTTTACACCTTTAAACCAAATTTCATCGAAATCGGACAAAAATTACTCAAGTTATCGCGTTCACGGACGTATATATATACAAGTCTATATATATATATATACAAATATAAAAATTTGAACGAATAGTGTTTTTGGCCTCATCGGTCCCGGGTCTAGGTCTTACCGTGCCACCTATGGTAATAGCTACTTCCCTATAGGGATATTCGCTAAAACTGCAAAACGGGTTGTGTAACTTGAATTGTTACTGAAATTACTGATATTAACTCTCAGTAATATTTTTTAATAGGGTGATATCAGCATCAATAAGATAAACGAGCTCCTACTGCAGAGTTATTATTTTTTCTCGAGTTTTCAATTTTATGTCTTTGAATTCCAATTAATTTAACTAAATCCAAAATCGGCCAATTATTTTGGTAAATCAGTTAGTTGTATACATTTGTGACGTTTATAATTTGTTGGGCAAAGACCATAATTTTCGCACTGGTTTCTTGACTGTAAATTTAATTAGGCTTTTAAAAATTATTCAACCATTTTAAAGTATTTTGCATCCCTTAAATCTAAGTGTTATTGATTGCTTGAACAATGTGTGTTAAAGTTTATTTTTCTCATCTTATTGGCACACATATTCCCGTACTCGAAAAATAGAAGAAAATTAACCAAATTGACCGACCAAAGGTGTAACTCACAAAAATTACTCGTTGCATTCCGTGCTTAACTTTTTTCTATGTACATGTTATGGGGATTCATACCACCAGGTTTTATGATAAACAGATCATAACAGTCAGTGAGTGGGGTCTCTTGACTGGAGGTGTATAATAGTCTGTTTTGCAACTCCAACAGCATTTTTAGAGGTTTTGCCAGGGAGCGGTCCACCCCTTGGGTTAGATACAATCTAAAGGAGGTAAAAGTATTTGCATATACTTCATACATTTTTTGAAAAAAACTTTCATAATGCGTTTTCTTTGTTTATTGAGATAGGTGGTGAGTTAGATAGATACTCTTATTCTTACGACGATGCAAGTCATGTTTTGTATTCCTAAGCACACGCTACTGTTATTGCTACAGGAAATCTACTAACGATGTAGGTTGTAAAAACGTACAATTCTCGGTACATACTTGTGTGTCCCACGTGTATGTGTATACATATCCGTTGAAGGTCTAAGAGTAGTAGTATTTCTCATATTGTGTAGGCCTAGTTTAACCAGTATAATATTTCAGGCAGGTGCAGAGCGAGTGAAGGAGACAAGACAATATAGTCAATTGGATCATGCTTTTAAACACTCTAACTCACTCGTTTAGTGTGCCCAGTAATTTTCAAATTTCCATAGAAATTCTTAAGTCGAATTCGTAAAGAATCACTTAGTCAAATGAAAATAAGTTAACTCTTTCAGATTAAATTAGGTCACGCCAATTACTTTTCTAATTGAATCAACATAATATTTGGCATTTTTAATTATTTCATTTACGTTTCTTGAATTTAAATCCATAACTTTCATTTACGAATAATGCATTTTTTTACATAAATATATATGCTTTATGAATACATTGTTTTGACGGTTGCCTAAAGCATGTTTTAATAACACTTTGAACACATGGATATCAAGGAGAAACTAAAATTATTGAGGATTTTACGAAAGACTAACTTTGTTTTACATGAATTTGTTAGCTAACATGATTAGTTATTATTGTTTTAAACAGTTTGTCCCCCTAAAAAGAATATGTCTCTTTAAAAGTTGTTTCATCCAACATTTGTCAACTAAATCAATACTACACTGATATATTTGAGTTAAATTACATCCAGTTATGACCCCATCGCATGGGTGATTGGTAATTAAATTACTAACCATAACTAATGTAGCTATACAGTTTGTTTGAAAAATCGTTGAGCTAAACTATTACAGCTCATTCTTATCGGGGAAGTTCGAGCCAGTAAGTTTTGTAACAAGGTGCAGCAACTACAAGAATGTAGAGCAATTTTCTAAATTACTGTTAACCGGTCAGTCCCTATTAGTCGATTGATTTCACTTTCGAACATGATTTATTTCTTGTCCCTGTAGTACTACTTTCGCGCGATTCCCCAAGGTCGTTTCCCGTCGCCCCCCCACTAGAGAAAACCGCTTGGCAATAATTGTATCTTTGTGCTCGAATGAAGGCTCGGTAGCCCGCCGCAGTTAAATGTCGACGTCGGCACGGTGCGGCTTATTGTTGGATTACGCCTAACAGTAGTGTAGTGTCGTGCTGCAGCTGTGACGAGTGTTTAGAGTGTCTGGTATTTATGGGAGTGATTTAGTATGTGGTAAATTTAATATTGTCACATAATTAAAATATAAAAAGCCTGCTAGAGAAAAATATTATTCAATAAGATACCGGTACATGCTTCTGCATTTGGATGATATTTTATGTGGTGAACAACGAATGTTTGAATTAATAATATACTTTAAACTGGAGTACCGCTTAATTTGCTATAGGGTTTTGTTACTTTATGCCTAAACTTACAATATTTATCAATAATAACATGAACGGCAACTAACACTACACATTGGTATTAGTTTACATTAATAAGCGATTTAACAAAAACTATCTTTATTCAAACTTATAATACAGTTATTTATAATCTGTTATGTTGTAAATAAATCCTAATACTGCTTACTTAGAATTAAAGCTTAATTTACTTTACTCTAGTTGTAGCTACTACTAAGATCTGGCGGAAAATCATAAAAAAAATATGAGTTAGGGCTAACATAGCGGAAACAACAAATAAACTAATATCTCTTACCCAACGATGTTCCTTTAAAATTTGTAAAAAGAATTCAAGTCATGCATATTAGAAATGACAATCAATTTTGTCGGAAATTTTTTAACGTACATTGACATTTGAGATAATCATAGACGTGATGTAAGCGTCACATGGCTGTGGCTAGATGGCAGATATCTAAGGTCAAGGCGTAAGATATGACGATGACCCAACTCCAAACCGGTTGTCAGTATTGCTAAACAACTCACTTGTAGCAACTGAAACAAATTTGTTTAGCTCTTGTCGAGTAAAAGTCAAGTAATTTGTTTCATTGTTTTCTAGTGACTAATTTATAAATTTCTTTCGATTAGTAATATTAAAAAATATACATACAGTATATTTTCTAGTGTTTAAACGATTATGATACTTTATATTTACAATATAAATATTTCTATTGTTTTGTTTCATACAAAAAATAATATACATAAATAAAATTACAGTTTTGTCCGCTCATTGCATAGAATAATGAAGTTTTTTTACATTTTGCACCATAAGAAAGCCAAAACTAGTCTTATCTCAATATCTGTTTGTATGTTTGTCTGTCTGACATTGGGTCTGTGACGCCAAAATTCCAATATAAACCAGAAACGAGAAAACCATATCATCAATCATGATTCAAATAGTTTTATTGTATTCACTTGATTGGCGAGGATGTCTTTATAAATTTATTGAAATATGGCCCACTACTTTGAAAAAAATTAATGGACGTCCAAAAACCCAATTTTGTGAGATTGATGTAAAGTTTTTTTCCTAATGTTTGTTCATACGTAATTTATAAAATATACTCTTCTGTTTGGAGAATGCGTCATCGACGTATGCGTTTAGATAATGTAATCTATGAAACAACGTTCTAGCTGACACTGATATGTTTACATTTAATTTTGTTTACAAATACTGCAACCATTTCCGATCACGTTCCGTAAGCAAATACAAAACTAAGTGAGATTAATAACCTTTTAACTTACATAACAGATTTAATTGATCAGTATTTAAGATTTAATTGATACAGTACGATAATTTGTAACTGTAAATTAAATAAATAACCAGGCATCATCAAAGTCAGAAACCGGATATTATGTGTGTGTCAAATTGAACTTGAGATTTACTAACCGAAAAAAGAACGTGAATCAGTGTTGCATAGGAATGGGAAACTGACATTTTATAAATCATCGTCGCCATAATAGCCTACAATCGAGGTTTCCACTCATTAAAGTTGTTTCGATGGCCATGCTATGATTTTGCTGCGATTTTGGAAGATCTTTACGATTTTGTTGTGATCAACAGAGGTTTGAGGATGCTGCAAAACTCTAAACTCACTTTTCCAATGTGCCACTTTCGGTTTCGACTCACCGCTATTGTGCTGCCATCGCTTCATCTCCTATTGTTACTTATGCCTACCCAATTATCCATAACCACATTTCGATTACTAGTCTCGGTACCGTACCTGTACTTTTCCCAAGAACCAGTGTTGACGAGAATCACTTAAACAACACCAACACAACCATACATACAGCTTAGTTATCTTTGGTGTTGCATATTTCTTACAGCCATGTTTAGTTTAATTGTTTTCCTACAGTAAATAATTTACTTTTTCAAGAAATATGTATTGTAATATCCCAATTAGAGTGCATGTCGATCTATTTTGTCATAAAATTCTTTTTCTGGGTTTTAGATGTTAGTTTATGCTATAAAAATATTTAAATATTTGATTGAAACTTTTTTTGAGCTGTCTGCTCGAGCATATACGTATGAATTGTTTTCGCTTTACGTTGTTTACACATCGTATAGTTCGTAGCCTGTGTATATTGATCTTTACCTCAACATTTTATAAAAATCCCCTTTTGTACTACTACAGTAATTTCAAAACCATTTTGCGTCATCTTTAGGTCTAGTAATTTAGAGTATTGAATTTCCTAACTCAAATCCGTTATGTATTCTGTATGTTTGTGTGTAGGCCCATGTCTTTTGGTAATGCATTAATACCATTATCTCTCAGCGTTTCAGGGACAGGAGCGCCATTTTTGTTAGTCAAAATGTCAAGTGGTGTGCAATGTCGAGGCAATATTTAACTACTTTTAACCAGTGTGAAAATTAGCTTTCAACTTTACCTCAGGGTTCCGTCTTAAGGATCTATAAAGCTGCTTTATTATTTTTATCAACGGATATCAGATATAGAATAAAAATAATAGATGTTCGCGTAACATTTATTTGTGAGGCACGGAAAATAATGTTGAATAAACCATAGTTATTGATACCAGAATGTACCTGGATGAGATGGCTAGCAGGTATATTCTATATAGTGAGACACTGTGAATACGAGCCTAGGGCGAATAAACATACGGCAAACATCAACAACATACACGACTGTGTCTAGCAACAACACAAGGCATGTCCTTGTGTTTAAAACCCATCATAGATAATGTGAACATATTTATGCTATCAATCGAATTGTAATATAACTAACTAGTGTACATGTTGCTCGAATTCGAGCAATTGCAAAGTATTACAGTAGTTATTTCAAAACGAAAACAGTCATATTTACAATGAGTTTAAAAGAGTCAACTCAAAGATTACCAGTGTGTAACTCAGATCATATTTATCTTCGTTGTTGATAAACCTAAAGCATTCCGGCCGATTTTCTCCTTCTCAAAGTGCCTCGTTGTACGGGCAATACAGGTCATTGATAGAGGGCCAATTGAGAACGAAAAGTCGTTTTGGGGTAGTGTTAGGGCGCATTTGTAACTTAATAGTTGAGATTGTCCAGGGTCAGGTGCTGACTGTGATGAGTTAAGCCTACCATCGATGTATAATAACGCCCTTTACGCGCCACTGTTCTGTAGCTGCGGTCGTTATCACGATTACGCCTCTTGTCTATGTTTCGTTGTCGTCGCGTCGGAGGCATTTAAAAGGAAATACAACAAATAAACAAATTATAGCTATACAAAACAACGATAAATGCACAAATTTAAGTTACAATCATGCTAACTCGATCCGTCATAGCGACACAAAACAACGATAAATACACAAATTTAAGATACAACAACCATACTAATACGATCCGTCTTGGGGGTTATGTTTACACAAACTCAAATAGCAAATAAATGTACTCAATGCGTTTCATTGAATTAAAAAATAAATAACAGCAATTAAATTATACAGCTGATCAAAATGTAAACAATTATGTTCTTCATAACAATGTATAACATGGGATCTTTCAAAGCCACTGGCGCAGAGCCCAAGGGACTCTTTCAAAAAGGTAAGGCCAGTTTGCAAATCTACGCGACACGCTCTTTCCAATGAGACGTCAATGGATAAAATCGGTTAAGAAATGGCGGAGGAGTTCAACCGACAAAGTTTCATGTAGCGTATTAATTATATAGATTACCAATAACATGTTCTGAAACCTAACATTATGATCCACGCCTACACAAAAATTTCAAGCAGTATGAATTAAATTAAAAATATTATTTTTATAGATACAGTAATATCTATATCTTATATAATATCTTTTCACTGTCATGGAAACACTATTTGGTTGTTTGGTCTTCACTATGGGTAATGGTTTTTGTTGTAAATATACCGTACACACTGTATACGTAAAGTTAGTCATGCTAGGACAAATTATTTTAAACTTATTTTCGAAGGGTTCTAATAATTTAATGCTTTTAATACTTTTCATAAAAATAGCGACCATAGGGCGTTTTAAGCCAACGTAGGCGTTTTAAGCCAAGTATGAATGGAGATGAGTGTGATCAATTCAATAAGCAAATAGATGCAGGTTATTGGAATAAATATATATTCCCAGTTGAAAGGAATATTTGTTTATATGTTTGATTCTGGCAACCATACACAAGTGTATGGGTCTTTTCAATGTATAGAGTTTATAAATATCAGGGCAATCAATTTTTAATTTGGTTACAGCAACATGTTAAAAGTGGTTTAACATCTTCACTAAATTGCCTTTAAGGATAAATTAATTTAAACGAGAAAAGAATAATATTCAGCCAATTTTAGTCAGTTTACTCTCAACAACCAGGACTGTTGACACACGGGGTTATTCATTGTTAGGCAAACGAGACGCCTTACAACAACACCTCAGCTTCTCCTCGAGGTTCAACTGCTATTTTAAGGAGTAAACACTCGCATCACTCCACAATTGCTAATTTTGAACTTTGCTATTTTTAGATTGCTGTTTTTAAGGCCGCTTACAACGCTCTTTAAATGTCCGTATAATGATAATCAATAACTAAATACATACATACACTGTGAAGTATCTTAACTTAGCTCACACTTTAGTAAGCTCCCAATGTTCTAGATGAACTTAAACAGCTGGTAAAATTTATTTACCTTTATTTACTATAAACATAACCTATAGTGTAAATATTTGAATTTATTTAGTTCAATAATTTGTCATGTGTTGCATAGGTTTGCTCATATTACTGCTGAGTACCGGGGGACCGAGCCATGGCTCGGAATAGTTGAATTTGATTTTAAAAGCAATA